ATATTTAGTAAATATTTATAGAACTATTCAAACAAATATTTATTAAAATTTAATATTTTTTTAGTGTGTAATATCGAACGGGAAAAATAAAAACGGAATAAATACATTCTTTGAGATTTAAATGAACGGTCTGCCCTATTTTTTATGGTTTAACGCGAAGAATATTGGAGACCTAGGTCAAAAAAAAATCCAATCGCTTTGTCAGGCGAAGATAAAAGAGGGATAATCGTTGTCCTGCGGCGGTAGATGACATCATTTGCTCACGTTCTCCTTCATTCACACCCTCCCTCTTTGCGTTAACGATGCGACTCGCGCTCGTTCAATCCCCGAACAATCGATGGTGCACGTAATGAAGTTTTTTTTTTCGCTTTTTCCTCGGTAATATTATTTTCCTCGAAAAACGAACAAAATTCGCAGTTTTGCGCTGTCGTGGCAACGCGACGATTCGATTTGCAAGCACGTGTTCGTCGAGGATAGGTACCTGCCAATTATCGCACCTGCCATCAGCTCGTACATATTCATTGTGGACACATCCGATTATCAATCGATGGGACATAGGATGGGACATCCCCATGGTCGTCCAATGCGTCACCCAGCACACCATATCCGGATATCCCCAATGACTCTTAGCGTTGATGGTGTTTATACCGTTGGTGTAAAGAATTTTTCTATGAAAGAATTTATAATGCTTCCCTGAATTATACACTGGAAATAGAGATTTGCATTAATTGAAATTCTGGCTGAAAAAACAAATCAGAATTCTCTGGTAGAATCTATTATAATTCTAGGTGAGATAAATGCAGAATTTTCCTATGAAAGAGAATTAAGTATAACCTTTTTGAATTACACTAGAAAGAATTTGTTTGCATTAATTGGAATTCTAGTTGAAGGACAAATTAAAATTTCCTGATTCCTAGAATCTATTATTCTAATTGAGATAATCAGAATTTTAATTGATATGATTAATAAAATTTTCTGATTCATTCATTTTCAACCATAATTTTTTCTCAGTACAGAGATTAATATCGAATCTAGGATCAGTAGAAGTTTTCTTTCAGTCTTAAGAAAATTTCAGAGATGCTTGCAGATAGTAAAACTAGAACATAGTCTATAGAAATAATCTATTCCTTGATTTACATATCGGTTTTCGAATGAAAGAAAGAATTTTATCATGTCAAGGAATTTTCTTCGCGATGAAACACGATATTGTTGGATGAGTACCATCAGCAGGGGTAGTAGCGGGTATACGTCGAAAAACAAACCGATGGAAAATTAATATCCTTTTTCCTCCCTCTCCTCCACCCTGATGATGAGCGAACGTTTCTGCAGTGTAATAAAGTCACTAGAGCGCGAATTCAAGAGAATGAAAGAGAAGACGAGAGGTGAGCGTGCGAGGTGAGGTAAACGGGGTAAGAGGAGAAATGAAATGAGAGTGGGGGAGGGAGGGGGCGGAGAAGGAGCGACGGATGAGAGGGAGGACGACGCAGGCGTCGATAGGCTGCATAGCGCGTAGGTCAACGTACTTTCTACCAGGGCCGCACAATATATTGCCGCATTGGTTGGTACCTTCCCTGATTCGGTGAATCTGCAATCGCAAAATATGCTGCGCGCGATGTCACGAAACCTCCACCCTCCTAAATCACTGTCCGAGAATGACTGATGCAATTAGGATGATCAAAATTCCAAATCGGGATGTTGCAAATTTTGCGGGACATTCCAATTTTTGGCTGTCTATAGAGATGTCCTAAAAGAACCCTAGGCGGAATGACATTTGTCCTGATTTATCACGTAATCTAAATTAATATAAAATTTATTAGCATATTAATGCATGTTTCTATTAATGTAGTTTAATTTTAATCTTGTTTTAACTATAACTCATCTTTTTTTAATTTTAAGAATTAAAAAAAGATGAAGAGTAAGATAAATTAAAGCTAATCTACATTGGTAGAAACGAGCATAAGGATTTCTTTCACCAATCTCTGGTTAAGCTTACTGAGAAATTGTGTGTTGATCTCCCAAGTTTTGAAAAAAATTAACTTTCTAGCTCGTTCGATTGCTCATCGATTTGCAAATTACACGTATAGGTACGTGTAATTTTCGTTTGCATACTTCTGATGGAAAAGTTATTAAAAAACAATTTTATAGGATGCTAATTTCATATTAACTCTGCAACTACGAGGAAAATAGATTTAACTCAATCGATAGATTTTCGTTTGCACATTCCGAAATAAGTCGATTCTTTATTTGCACATCTTTAGTTGAAAGATTATTAACAATTAAAGTTTCGAAGATAGTCGATTCAGATAAACAGATTCAAATCGCAGTTATTATACTCAAAATGGCATGAATCAATAGGTTTATTAGTAATTGTAGAATTTTAATTTGGAAGTTCTGCAGATTGTTTTGAAGGTTAGAAAGTTCAAAGCTTTGAAGATTTTAATGCAGAAGCTTCGAAGTTTGAATGCCTTCGATGTAGTAAAAAACATGTTTTGAACAGTTCAAAACATGTTTAATCTATGTTTTTAATAATACTGTTTAAAGCATGTTTGAAGCATTAAAAACATGTTTAAAAAGAAACACAATGTTTTATTCTAAAAAAAAAAACATTAGTCTTTGTTAACTCTGCTTCGAAGCAAATCAGCAACCCTACTCTTGACTGACGTTCGAACACATGCGATATCCGAATTTTTAATCTTTGATGTTCTATACATGAAAAGCATACGTATGTGAAAGGGCCTTGCGTGCAAATTTGAAAATACAAAAAAAAGAAAGACGTGTCCGAACTTAATTTCAAAATGAAAAAAAAAAGGTTGTTATCAGTCTATGTGATTAATGTATTGTAGAATTTGTAAACTTAAAGAAAGTTTGAAACTTTCTTTTTAAATTTGCACTTAGAGAAAAAGTGATAATTGTAAAGGTAACAACAAGTTTTATATGTAACTAACTATAAAACCGTTACTCAATTGTGCATATTAATTCTACATATAAAACTGGTATATTTGTCATCACTTTATATAATTGTTATTACTATTTCGCTAAATGTGAAATAAAATTGCCATTTGAGAAAGGCATGTTCCAAAAAAAAAATTTAGTATGACGCATTAAGCCGGATCCAGACTAAGCAAACAAACGCGAATGAATAGCTTACTTTAATGAATGTGAAAGGTACCAGGAATATCGCAGTTCGAACTCATTGATGCAACTTGTTCATTTGTGTTTCGTACACGCTCGTTTGCTTAATCTAAATCTGACTTTATATATCTAGCAGTTTCAATATTTCCCTGGATTTTTCCGTCTCTTAAACAAAATATAACAGTAAAAAGAGTTAATGAAAAATAAAAAGATACGATATATAATTTATATTCATGACAGTTTTTTCATGTAAAATACATCTTTGTGCAGCAACAGCAATATAAAGAAATGTCCTGTAATCTAAAGTTACGGAACATTCAAATTTATGAATATCCATGCGTGTGAGAAACAGGAAGTGGTTATTGTCACTTGAAGAAGTAAATGCAGTACTCGGTAAAAGTACCGTAAAATCTGCATGACATGAGACATTTAAATATTCAAGAGATATTATAGAATCCATTGATCCGGCAAACGATAATTGATTGTGTTGCATCCAGTTTATAATACAGATGAAAAGTGTGACAATAATAATTCTGCAAATTGTCTTTGCAGTGATCCTGAAGAATTATGCAATTACATAAATTTGTGTTTTGTAGGAAACAATATCGCAATGCTACGAAGGTCTTCAACGCGATCGCGTGATCTTCGAGCTTCGATTTATTCACGAGCCATTGACTCCGCTGACTATAAACCGTACTTTTATTACCATGACTCACGCCAAGTTAATTGTCTACGGAACAACGCAATATGAAAAATATGTCTGCACTGAAAAAAGTGAAATAATAGCTATCAAGTGTTGAGTTAAATAATTCCAATCAAATGTTCGGTTAATATAACACATAGTAAAAAATATTTTGTATTTGTGTTGAAAACGGTCCGCTCACATATTTGTTAAAATTTTATGTTGAACATTCGATTGTTAATTTAACATAATATGATTATGTTATTTAAAGATTTTGTGTTAAATTAATATTCAACATTTTTTAGTGTCAAAATGACAAGTGGACAAACATAAAAATAATGTTTAAATATATAAATTCTAAGATTAATGAATAAAGTATATTAATTTAGCATATTATAAATATGAATTTTATTGAAAAAAAAAATACTTTCACGGTTTATTTAATGTATCAATACTACTTTTTTGTATTTATCTTCTTAAATGATATTTCTGTTATCTTCTAACATATTTATTTTGTGTTAAATTAATATATAAATTTAAGTGGACCGTTTGGAACACGTGAGATGTGTTCAATGTAACACAAATTTTTCGTTATATGAATCGAATATTTGGAAATTATTTCGCTCAACATTTGATAGCTACTACTCGACTCTTTTTCCAGTGTTAGATTTTTGCTCTCTTTCGTATCAAGTCTTCTACTTCGAAATGTTTCCACGAAATTTCGTAGAAGACTTAACAATGAGACCACGCAACGGTTTCTAATTTATGCTTGACGATATAATAGTAATTAATCCGTAACTGGAACAATGGTGAACTTTGGTGACCTTAAGATTTTTTTTAAATAATCACGATTTGTAATAATTTTATGTTTTACAATTTGTCACAATTTTAAACTTAAAGAAATCTTAAAAAGGAACTAATAACAAAAACTTCAATAGCTCTTAAGAACCCATATATTTCTTTATCATCAAAAAATTTGTTTTTTTTTACGAGTTAGTGCCTAAATTCTTCATCTCTAAATAATTTTATCCAAGAGATATTTCTCAGAGTACAATGGAGATATTTCCTGGATAAGGTTCTCCGCAACTTATCTGAAAGTGAAGAAATTGGGCATAAGACGTAATCATAGTTGATGCCAAAGTACAACCGCAAGAAAATTCTAACGAACGCTATTTTATATTTTCAGACGACCTGAAACACGTACATCAGGCTTTGCTGCAGAGTGCTAAGCGTGCGGGTTCCTTGGATAATATCACGGTAATCGTGGTGTTCCTGACGCCGCCGATCGAGATCGCTTCGCGCTCGAATCCGCTTCTGACGTATCAAGCACCGAATGGTCTATTACTAAACAACATGGATCCGAATAATCCGATCCCGTCGAATCATGATGAATTCGATGTAAAACCGGCCTACATCAAACAGCTGATCGACGACGACATGGATCGCCCCGATTTCGATTTACTTTTGAAAAATTCCGTGTGCGGTATGACCAGGAACGGCAAGCACCGGAACGACGACGATGCTGAATATGATTATACGGACATAGGTCCGGAGACTGATGTGGACGCCGGCGAGGATGTGCATGACAACAATTACCCGGCCCTCGCCACATCGTCGTCGCTCGATCCTACCCCCGAGAGCGAGAAACCGTCGATAGAAATTGAGAAGTACAACAACGACGACGACGACAAGAACGACAACAACGATTATTCTAACCGCGATAACGCGAACGTCTGCCCGGTGGATTCGGTAGTAAACGATGATGATCTAGACAATCGTGTCCGACCGAATGATAAAGACGTTCGCGGTGCGGACGACGAAACGCTGCGCGACCACGGTGACGACGACCACGACGTCGCGCGTATCGAGACCGCTGGCATGCATACTGTCGTGGACGATGACGAGTCGCCACCCTCGCCGCGAGCTGCTAGTAAGTGCAACTTGTCCGTTGTAAAGGCTCGGCTGTGCGCCGTGCTGGTATACGGTTACGCTTATCACGCGGTGAGCAATCTGTTCGTGTCGTTGGCGAACTACATCTCGAATTCGTTCGCCGCTCACATTTTTGGTCTACGTAAAAATTGAGCCGTGTCTTTGCGTTTTAATCGGCCTCCCAAGAGATGATTCAAAGATTCCATCTTCATTTATACCGGAAAGTCATAGAGGACCGAAACGGACGAAATCGAGAAGTGTACATGTCAGCGATATGTCAGCGGATTAATCGTCGCATAACACGATGTAATCATCGTCGTATGCTCTGCGATAAGATTGCGCTAGTTATTATACATACCGCAGTATGAAGTATTTTATGTGTCTTTGAGAAATGATGCAAAATATCTTCGATTTTTTCGAACGCTGAAATATATTTTTAACATTAAACTATGTCCCGATTGCTGCAACACAACGAGAAACTTCGCATGCATAAAACTTATTATCTAAGAGATATAAATAAAAAAAACGTAATCGTTCCGACCTTTCTGAGTCCTCTTCAATATAATTTTAATCTATAATTACATGACTCAAGTTAAAAAATTATTGATAAAAATATTATATATTATATCCTGAACTTTTTATTGATGTTTCTTATAAAAGTTTTGTTTGTTTTCCAAAAGTTGCTTGTTGCCAAAAGTTTCTTGATCTTTCTTAATGTTTCATTACTAAAATTTGCAATGGGGACATAGTTCTAGAAACTCCAGTGGACAGTATCGCTTGTTAACAATATCGCTTTTTTTGAGAGTACGAAAAAGCAAGTCTGTTGTACGCAGCTATTGGTAGATATGTGTTATATATAGTTTTCATATCACCTTTCTTACATATGCAAATGCAACGCATATAAGAATAAAATTGAAACGCATTCGAATGCATAGTGCATTCGATGTGATTTACATGACTAAGATCTCCATTTTCTGACTCTTAACAACAGTGTTAGTACCGTTATACTATCGTTGAACTGCAGTTTTTTTTATCATATACAATACCTGCACAACGATAACATAACGATACTGTCATTAAGAGTTACAGACTAGGGGTCTAAAGAGTACATCCTGTAATGACCCGCTTTTCGTACTTACGTACGATCCACAAATGGCCTCCTCATTCTACTCTCCTTGGTAACAGAAGTACAGCGAGCACTTGTAGCATCGATCATCCGTTACATCCGTGATCTTACATGGATAAATAAAGTTCGAGATTAGTCAGAGCTGCTATTTTCTTGTCGGTAGAATGTCACACAGATAAATTATCGCGTTTCTCCCGTTTTTTTATGTCACGGAGATACGTTATCTTTATTAATGACCTATATGCCATGTCGCTGTGCGAAGCATAGCTATGATCAACTGCAGCTTTAAAAATGTTGATGGCGCTAAAATCGTAATTTTTAAATCGTTATCAAGATCAGTTGGGTTTCGCTAAATAGAAAATGAGTTTCATTATTGTGACTCATGTACAGTCTAATGAACATGGAAGTTCGAAAGATAGCAAGTTGACGGAAGTAGCGGATATGCTAACGAATATACCGTACGAGAAAACCTGTTTCTCTAATTGACTTTGAAATTGATTTTAACCCGCATCGGTAGCATTGCAAAAAATGGAAATTGATGTTCAATAAAGGTAATAAAAAGCACCGTTTACGCTATTAACGCTTTCTCGATAAGCGGAAATGTTGAATATCAGGTAAACGAGTCTCGTTAGCGTAAATTGGACATCGTAAATCTTTATATTATTAGATAAGCAATTTTTTAAATGCTCATTATGTCTAGAAACGAAGGAAAAGCTTCTAAATCATGATTATTTATGGCAAAAAATGGATAATATTGTTTCAGAGCAATGTAGTAATCAACGGTATATATTACTCTAATTATGAAAAATTAAAAGATAAAGATAAAGATTATTCATCCACTAATTAAATTAATGAAAAATAATAAAGTAACTTTAGTATTAGAAAATTATGTTATCTTAAATTTGAAAAAAAAAGATACAGTGAAAAAAATTATTCATTTTACAAACGAAATGTTTAGTTAGTCTGTTAAAATTAGTCTATTAAAATAAGATATATGATATATGAGCTGATGATTGCTTATTGTTCCGCGTATTATCTTAGATACAAATTTGCAAACAACGATTATTTTTCAAAAAATATTTGCATTTGTTAAAGCAAAATCATTTCTATAACATATGTTTTTAATATTCTGTTTTTAATTCTAAATTTTTTTTTAATTTTGTATTCTCTATCTATATTTTCTTAAGCAGGTCTCCTACATTAGAGGATTAAAAAATTCGATTTTTTTTTCTATAAATTGATAGTACTCTACGAGAACATGTCCCTCAAAAATTTTAGAACGAAATTCGAAGTCCTTCAGTATAAATTCTGCGCTTGTATATACAGATTATATATACAGTGTATATATACATCGAAAATTTTTAACGCGTTTTTCTCGAAATCGTTTTTTTGCATTTTTTAAAATTTTGTGAACACGATTGAGAAGAAAATATTTGTCCGATTGACTTCTTTTAGGACTCATTCTTTAGCTAATTTTTTTTGCCTAAACAAACGGTTGCTACTTAGTGAAAATCGTAATTTTGTTCTTTAAAATCGGACAAAATTATAATTCGTATATATTTTTTTAATTATTTACATAGGATGATATTCTATATAAATTAAAAATCTTTTTTAATTTTTTGATTCAGGCAAGAATTACAGCCGCTGGATGTATAGAAAATTGTTACGTCGTGCCACTAAACTAAATGTTTATATTTTTATTATTTAGAATACTTTTTCTCACATAAAAATTGTGTACGTACTCTATAATAATTATATTGAAACATGCAAAAAGTTTGAAGTCGATAAACATTAATCTTCCATATGAAAAAAAAAAATTATGAAAAATCACCTCGTTTTCGGCCTCCTAATGTAGAAGATCTCCTTAAACCGTTATTATTACATACAAAAACGGATGTTTTACGTACTATAGGAAAATTATTCTGCCGTTCTATTAATGAAGATATTTTTAAACATTGAGAAATGAGAAACGTGTTTACGCGCGATAACAGTAAATTGATAACGTTTATTTTATAATAATATTCTGCTTTATATTCTCATGTTTTTTTTTTAATTTTACTTTTTCTATTAAACTCTCATCACTATCGCGCGAAAACGAATTTTTATGGGCTAAACAAAAATCATTATACCACTCTGTTAACGACGATATTTTTAAATATTGAGAAACGAGAAATGTGCTTACGTGCGATAAGGGTTGATAATTAATTTGCCATGTATATTTCAGGCAATCGTCAGATACAGAAGTACAACAGTTCGCCATTATCGTTATCGGCAGCAATTTCAGTTAATTAACAAGTACCATCATGTGTCTCTCGCATGCCCGCTTAGTCCCGTTACAGACATTCGAATCGAGCGCGCAATGGCCGAGAACCGCGCCGCCGCGTCGCAATTGGTCGACGTGATGCGCTCGTGTCGCTGATTCGTCATATGGCGGCCAATTGGGCAGCGTGCCGCCAATTGTCGCCGGCCATGTGGAAGGGGCTTCCGGCAGTTCCTCTCGAGCTCGTACGGTTATGAGTGCGCGTCTGCGGTTCTCGTGTGAATTTTCCTGGTACGATCGTGTTGGTTCGCGTGCCGATCTGCGATCGCCGGCTTTTATACCAGATATATACCGTCGGCTTCAGGCACACCGTTACCGCCGGCACTTCTCGGACGTGAGGACAAACACACGACGCGGACGAGGGATGAGAGATACGTTCTCCGAGGTACGTTGCGCGCTCGTGTTCCTTCGCAGTCGGTTATCGCCAAGGAATCCGGGCAGAACCCTGAATTGCGTATTTAAATTTGGAAGTGACGCCGTGGCGGGGGACATCGCGCGGCGTTGTCCACAAGTCTTTGGAATAAGCGGCGATGACAACAAACCATGTTGTTGCCGGCCGGTGACCGGCTGTTGAAAAAACCGACGTTGTTTCTCCGACGACGATTCTGTACGACGCGATGGTCGCCGTTATCAGAAATAAACGTAGAGATCGTTTTCGTGTCTACAACAAAAACCGAACTCATTGACGGTATACCGGTTTCTAAACTACATCGATGTTCCCCCACTCTTTGTTTCTTTTTCTTTTCGTTCTTTCTCTTTCTCTCTTTCTGGATGGTATAGGTGAACGTTACGGTTCTGATATCTTTTCCCTCTTTTTCTCTCCCTCGTGGTGATCGCAGGAACTAATTGCGTCGATTTTAAATCAAGGCCTGCTCTGCCTGATCCTTCTCGAACATTCGACGAATTTAGTTCTTCGATTTCCGTCTCTCATAAGCACATACAAACGAGAAAGAAGAAGCATTCTCAGGACAGAGGGACGAGAGTCCAAGAGGGAAAAAGAAAAAGGCAGTGCCTCGCGTCATGCGAAGCGTGCCCGAAAATAACGTGTTGTGAAATTGCATTGTGTATTTGTCGTCATCGTCGCTGTTGCACTGAGAAAACAAAGTCGCATTTCACGATTTGTCAAATTGATTCACGCTGCTCCGTTTTGCAGTCAAATTTTGATGCAGTTTCGATAAATTAAAAATTTAATGTTAAAAGCGAAAGAATTTACGCCTCTCGTCTTGTGTTTCTGTCGACTAATAGAAAACTTAGATAATTCCGTGGAAATTCTTTATTAATAGAGAATTTTTGCGATACCGCGCGTATCTGAATACACGGTATTGCAAAAACTCCCTGATATCGAAATTATACTGATTTTAAGGATCAATTTGAAGCTAATTTAATGACATACAAATTCTTCCGTCGTGAACAAAGAAAATTTCTTAAATGGCTTCTCGAAAATAGACACATATTTGCTCAGCGAATTTTGTACGTCTTATTATGTGTAATTAATAATTTTTATTACTATAGTGATAGAATATCATTGAATATGATTAAAAACACGTATTCTCAC